CTTTCTGGCGCCTGACGAACCAGGGTGATGACATTTAGTCCTGTGCACACAGTGCACTGTTTTTCTTTAACCTCAACCTTGAGGCAAGCAGGTCAACTACCATTTTTCCCTCAATTTGCAGATGTAGAAATTCAGGTTCAGACATTTGCCTGACTCTTTTGCCAAGGTCACACAGGCTTTTGAAAAGTGGTTGAGCTGAGAAAATAATGCAAGAGTCTTGGTTCTAACTGCATGCTTCTCAACCTGGCACCATAACTTCTCAACCATATCACTACTGGCATTTCAGGCCAGAGAATTCTTTGTCGTGGGGACGGTCCTGCACACTGCAGGGTGTTTATCCAGGTGCACTTCCCTCAGTGTGACAACCAAAAGCACCTTCAGCCATTGGCAAATACCACCTAGGGGTTGACTCTAGTTAAGAATCACTGCTCTATGCCAACCTTCAAATCTCACGGAGATGAAGACAGGCTTCCAAAGGATGGGGGAATGCAGACCTGTATATGGTAGGAGGCAGTCTCTTGAAGTGGGGAATGGGACAAAAGGACTGGGGAATGCAGTAAAGAGGCCCAAATTGAGTCGCTCAGTGAGGGCAGGGACACAATGATCCTCCAGCTCTAATTTGGGAAACAATGTGTACAGTCAGTCTGTTGGAAGGAATCGTGTGAGTGAGTCGAGAGGAGAGGAGCAAGCAGTATAGGGCGAGTGAGGTTGGAGAAGCTTCTGGCTGCCCTGGGTGACTTAGCACTGGGGGATCAGCTGCAGAGCGAGAGACCACCTATGACGTAGGAAAACGTGAGAGGTTCTTCCCTCCGATGGTCATTATTTTTTGGCCTTCAGGATAATCATGGGCATTGCTGCCATCCGACACACAGTGGGTATGCCATAAAGATTCCACCTTCAGGAAGTCTCTAAATTACATGTGAGGCATTTAGAGTGTTTAAAAGCATGCCCCTTTTCTGCACTCTAGGCAGGCAGGAACTGGCAGAAACATTTCTGGTGCAACAGAATGTGGTCTGGATGGGGTACACTGCAGGCTCCAATGTGAGCTGCACCTCCAGAATCTGAAGCAAATTCAGAGAAGGCTATACTCTGAAAGCAAACTTAGCCACAGCCTCATTATAAAGGAGAAGGCTGCAGATGAAAGTCCCCATCACAGTGCGGGTGACCTGAAATGCTGCCCTAACTCATCTGCAGCCTCGATTGACTGCATTCTGCCCACAGACCGTGGCCAAGAGAAGAGAAACAGGCCCCTGAGAGGGAGCACTTGGGAGGGTGGGGGGTTTCCAGCACAGCCCAGGGGGAGGGGGTCTGAGATTTCAGTTTAACTATTTTTTAGAAATCACCACTTTGAGATCCAGCAAGCTGAAGAAAAATAACAGACCCACTGCAGGCCTGAAACCCAGCAAACATACACACAGACAGGCCACTCGTTACAGGGTCCGGGGGACAACGCCAGTCTCAGGTATCTTTTCTTCCGAAGGCCAAGTCTACCAAAATGAAAGTCTCTCACCTTCCGTCTTTTTGGTCACCCAGTCATTTATGTGTTTCCTGCACTCTTCAGGGTCATTAGCAAAGGACAGGCCCTCCAGCTCTGCCTGGTAGAACTTCATACAGGACTCCTTAAAGGCCTGCAAGTCAAGATTCCAAGTTTGGCCCTGTTTGGCAGAAGTTCCCACAAGTACAAAAACATTTTTTTTCTCTTAACATGTTTCTAGTATAAACGTTCGCGCAGCTCATCCTGTACTTGAAGACTCATTCACACTATTATTAAAACTGTAAGACCACCAGCTCTGTGCTGGCCCTGTGCTAGGTGCTGGACTCCCGGGTGGGGACACCTGGGTGGGGACATGCCTGCACACCTGAGGTGGCGCACAGTTTGCTGAGAGAAACAGCACATATACAGAGAAGGCCATAAAATGCTCTGCGAACATGGATGACGCCAGGCATGCACAAAACAGCCCATGAACATCCCTGTGAAACACTGAAATTTCACCCGGGCTCTCTGTTAGATCCACCAGGAACCATAACATAGTTTTACTCGTTTGTTATCACCAGAAGCAACCACAGTGTCCATTCTATTTGTGGAATGATTGGGAGGCCCCGGAGTGGAACCAGAGTATCAGGAAATCTTCCAGGTCCTGCAGGAGTGGGGCGTGACAGGCCTGGATCACGGGCTGGGCGGGGATGGGGGAGCTGCAGGAAAACAGTAGCAGGAGATGAGCCTTGGAATGTAAGTGGGGATAAAATCCGGAAGGGCCTGCACCCAGTACATCAAACCCAAAGATGACGCACCTCAGAAAAACTTGGTTTCAGACAGAATGGGGCTGGTAATTGGCTCCCATCCTCTGCCCATCTCCTGTTCTCAAATAGTTTAGCTTCTACAGAAGAAAGATGACGTGGAAAGGAGGAGCCACGGCAGCAGGAAGTGTACAGGGTGCCCCCTGTGTCCCCGCTGTTCCCCAATTACCATATCCACAGGTCAGGCTGATATTCAGGGCTGAACGTGGATTACCTAGGAGGGCCCTGGAACCCCCAGAGCTCATCGTAGAAGACCTGGCCAGCTGAAAGGTCCAGAATCACCGCCAGTGATATTAAGCCCAGAACTGCCGACCTCCACGGGGCAGCGGCCAACAGGGACGTACCGGATCTTACGGGAGAGTCCTTGGAACCGCCAGCCAATCACATTGCCAGGCTTGCTGTGGTCGTGCCTTTACTCTCAGGTAGTGTCACTCTGTACCTTATGTGGCATAATTGTTTGGACCGACCTCACTTATTGCATTAGGGGAGGTCCAGAAGGTACAGTGACAGTCTGGACCAGACAGTGGCAGTGGTGATTCAGAAATTTAAGAGACCTTGAGAAGCTGGCTCTGCAGGAAGAGAGCCGCTGGTTGTTGGCAACCAGAGTGAGATGGGGAGAAGCTCTGTACACATACAAGATGACATGGTCGCTGAGGTCAGGGGACCCGGAGGGAGAAACAAGTCTGGGTGCAGGAGGACGGATATACTGAGATTAATAACCAAGAGGAATGTATCAGAAACATTTTTTTAAAAAGGACCTAATTCAGAAGCAATCACAAAATTCAAAATTACAATTACGTAAGTAGAGCAATTCCAAGCACATTTTTTAAGGCAAGAGGGTCATACTTTATCTCTGTCCTTCTGTAGTTTCTATTGTATTTGCAAGTTCTTTTCCATCAATATGTAAACTTACTGGAAGGAAATCACACGTCTTTTCTCCAAAGAGTCTGTTGGCAGATCGGAGCAAGTACTGAGTGCTGGACTTGGTCACTTCTGCGAGGAGGGACTGGAAGCCCTGGTGAACGTCTCCAACTTTGTTCAAACAAAGTGCCTTTGCGAAAAGAAGACAAGGACACAGACTTTTCACATTGGCGTGTTGCTGCCCCAAACAACTGTCTCCAAACAAATCTCTGGGCTGAATCACAGATCTGTCTTAAAAGATGTTCGGTTTATCTCAGCCTCAAGACTATTGATAAGACTATCTCAGCCTCAAGACTGGGGCCAGACACTGTCGTGGGAGCTGCTCTGTGCACGTAAGTATATTTTGCAGCATTTCCAGCCTCTGCCCACTAGATGTCAGTAGCGCCTCTTGGTTAAGGCGACCAAAACTGTCCAGCAGCGGCCAGAGGTCCCCCGCCCCCTGGTGCAAAGCATCACCCTAGCGGACTTATCTGTGCCTCAAAGGCAGGGTGCAGGGACTCAGGAGGGAGGCGGAAGAGGACAAACAGGCAGCCGGCATGAATCTAACAAGACCCACGCAATGCAGGAATGGGTAGAAATAAACATCAAAGGATTTCATCAGCAACTGCACAGAAGTTCTCCAGACCAAACTGATATAAATGTCAAGTCAGGGTGGGAAGTAAGGTGTGCCCTATCTCCCAACAGCTCCAGCCCAGATGGCAGTTATGGGACACGTTCACCAGACTGACCGCCAACAAAACTATATAGTTTTTATAAAGTTTTATAAAGATATAAAAACGTTAAGAACTAGTTCCCTGACGTATTTCCCATGACCTCGCTTGCAGCCAAGGTCACACAGCACCCACGCAGGTCAATCAGATTATCTCCAGAAGATTAAGTCCACTTTGCATTGGAGTCTTCCACTTATGCATAATCATACACCAGAAAGAATTCATTAAGCAGAAAGTTCATTTACACAGCAGCTGCATTTCAACTTGAAAGGTAGTGTCAGCAGAAATGTAACACAGTTGAAATTCTTGGCCTGTCTGTGGGAATTATACTTTACCTTACTTATCGAAGATGCAGTTTTGTTAATGTATTGATGATTTTATTTAGCAAAAATAACACAATGGCTTGACTTCTCCCATAAACCCTAAGGGGAGACCGCCTGTTCCCCACAATTCACCTTTCTACCCTTGTCTGCTCTTTCTCCTTCACCATGGTGCCCACCCCCACCCCCACCAGTCTCACTGGCTTCCATCAGCTGGTGTGAGGAATGAAAAAAATTAGTTCTGTGAAAGCACAGTAAGCAGTGGTCTGTTGTTCCCCCTCTGTGACAGGCATGCATACCTGGGACATCTGGGTGGCAGTGTCTCCTCTCGCCCCCATGGAGACCAGAGCCAGGGTAGAAGAAATGCTCAGAGGAGACATGAACACATTGCGTGAGTTGTCCTTCTCACCCAATATTTTTAATAAGTTGATGGCAAAAGTGCCATTTGCTTCGCAGAGTTCATCCATCAGGGAGGGTCTGGGCCAAAAGCAAACAGAAGCCTTTCGTTACATCACGTAGTCATTAGCACTCCTGTCTGTGGACACTGGGTGTGCTCAGCAGAGTAACTGCATCCCCGAAGACATCCACCCACACCAAGTCCCCAAACCTGTGACTACATTATCTCACATGGGAGTGGGGACTTGGCTGACACGACTGAATCAAGGCTCTTGAGGTGAGGAGAGTCTCTGGGATTATCCAGATGGGCTCGGGGTCATCATGGAACCCTTACTTGACAAAGGCACGAGGGTCAGAGTCAGAGGAGGAGATGGGACAAGAGAGGCAAAGGCGCGAATGCTACAGGGTCCCCGGCCAGGTGTGGGGACAAACACGCACTGCCCCTTATAACCTTGTGTTCCAGCTGTGTCCACATGGCCCCCTCCTTCGAGCAATGTGCTGGGCATGTGGTATGTTGATTGCCCAGAGCTGTCCAAATCCGACCAAGGTTTTGTTGCTTGGGGCTCTTGTTGCACAAGAACGACCCCTCCTAGCACAGCACAGAGTCTTTGTCCCATAACCCTGTACAAGCAGGTGCCTCCTGGTCCACGACAGCGGGATGCAACCTCGTTCAGCTGGCTGCTCCTGGACTCCCTGTACCTAAGTCCCAATAAACCCACGTGTGTCACATGGCATCTCCGGGTCTTTCCTTTGGTCTCTTGAGTGCTTTCCCATCAAAACTGGCTCACTTGGGTGTGTCACCCGACCCTGGTCACACACCAAGGAATGCTGGCATACTCTACGAGCTCCAAAAGGTGAGGAAATACATTCTGCCCTAGAACCTCCAGAAAAACACATAGTTCTGCCAACCTGTTTGGACTTCTGACCTGCAGAACCGCAAGATAATGAATTTTTGTTGTTTTCAGTCACTACATTTGTGGTAAGATGTACAACTTCCATGTATCATCTCTTTTAATGTCCACAACAACACACAAGGTCAACATAGTTACTATCTCACCTGAGAGACCCAGACCAAGAGTGAGGGCAGTGGCTTCCAGACCCTACAGACCTCAAGGAAGTCAGGATTCCAGAGCCTCTACTCCTCATCCTTACACACAATCCCCCTATTGCTGCTAGTTCTCCCTCAGTTTGGTGTCTCTAGCTTAACTTATAAACAATGCTCTATGAATTGTAAGTAATTCTCTATAAACAAAAACATAAGAGCATAAAGAGCTTTGGACTCAAGGTGAGACTGGCATAAACTTAGGCTGGTGTGCGTGTGGTGTGTGTGTGTGTGTGTGTGTGTGTGTGTGTGTGTGTGTGTGTGTGTGTGTGTGTCTGACCAGGCAAAGGAATGAACTGCAATATCATATTACTTTCAACTTTACATTTTCTCTACTCTTAATTGCAAATGCCTGCTTGTGCTTTCTCCCCTCTCCCCTTATCTCCTCTCCTCACTTCTGTTCCTTTCCACCTGCCAGTTGCTGCTTAGCCCTGTAATATTTCCCACACATATCTGTCCCCACAGCAATGGAATCTTAAACCAATTAATCAGGAATGCCTGATCAGCAATAATTAGGTAATCCGCCTGACAGACCTCTGCCAGTCCCTAAAATAAAGTAACTTATATCTGTCCCCACAGCAATGGAATCTTAAACCAATTAATCAGGAATGCCTGATCAGCAATAATTAGGTAATCCGCCTGACAGACCTCTGCCAGTCCCTAAAATAAAGTAACTTTGCAGTAACCACCTGTTTTTTTCACCTGTATAACATCCTTGCTCCCACTGAGGGTGTCAAGGGCATGTCCAAGCTCAACAAGGGAACAAGCAGGGGCTGCAAGAGAACAAGAGAATGGCTCTTTTTCCCCATTCTCCCTGGTGCCCCAATTTCATTTGTAGGTTAAAGCTTTTGAGATGGCTGGAACTTGAAATAAAATGGATCTTGCCCAATAAATCTAAAAAGGAATTAATATCAATATAACATAAAATAATACCTTTGTGTGCCAGTGCCATCATTCCACTGTGTCATTAAAACACAACAACAGGGAAAGATTTGACTTTCAGCCAATGAAACAAATGAATAACTGCAATATCACATCACTTTCAACTTTACATTTTCACTACTCCTAATTGCAAATGCCTGCTTGTTTCTTTTTAAGGGTAAACAAGCAAGATCAGGACAATTAATTACTGTCCTCGTAGTAAGAACCATTGAGTCTGCGACAAAAGCAAGCATTCTGCTTCCGAGTATGTGGCATCATTCTCCTCCTGGGGGTCTTGACCACCTGTGAGCTCCCTGCTCCACTCCCTCTTCCCATACACATATCCAGAAGTGAATTTACTCAGAGTTTTATGTAGAACTTTCCTGATATGGTTTGGGGAAGAAAATGAACAATTATGCCACAATTCCTGACCGTGAACTCCCACCCGAGGGGAAAACACACACCAACATGCATGGTTGCAAGCCAGCAGTGTGCTCTGTAACAGGATAAAAATGTGCAATGTGCTAAGGAGACCCACAGAAAAATAGAAGGAATTATCTTTAGATGCCCAGGAGGAGAGGAGTAAACTGGTTCTAAAAGGTTGGGCCGTTTCTGTAAGGCAGAGAAAAGGTGGGTGAATTTTTAGGTTGCGCAGGGCCTGGGATTGGCAGCGGGACATGGGATGGCCAGCAGGACGCGCATGCGTAGTGTGGAACCCAGGGAGTGGGTCTATGTGGTTCCTTTGCCAGACAGGGCGTGGTGAGACAGCATGGGCCCCTCGTGCCAGAGTTAGAAGTTTGAACGTGAGCTATGGTCTGGAAAGTCAAGACTTAATTACAGTTTCGGCTCTCCCATAAATGGAATCTTAAACCAGTTCATCAGGAACCGCCTGATCAGCAGCAGGTCGGTACCTGCCTAATAGACTCCTCCATTCCCTAAAGGAAAGGAACTGCGGTAACCACCTTATGTAACTTCCTTCTACCTATAAAAGTCTCGGACTTTGTATAGCGGCTCTGAGCTCCTTTCTATCTGCTAGCCTGGACGCTGCCCAATTTGAATTGATTTTTGCTCAAATAAACTCTTTAAATTTTTTTTATTATGCTTCCGTTTCTTTTAACAGGCTTCTAGCTAATCTGCGATGAGGGTGGGCCATGAACCCCAGGAAGCTTGGAATGGGCGCCCGCTTGGAATGGGGAAGGTGATACATTCCATGGGTACGTGGGACGTGCCACTCCAACAGGTCCTGTAACCACGACAGCAGAGGGACTTTCGTAAATACAGGCAGGTTACTACGGATGAGTAGAAATCCTAGAGGGGGAGAATGGAAGTCACTAGCGTCCTGATTCCAGGCGATTCTACTTAATGGGATGACATTACTCTGGACAGCGGAGGCCCGAGAGGAGAGAATCACCTAGTGCTGGAGGACGTCCAGTATTTACAGGCAGTGAGGAGGAAACGACGAGGGGCTGAGACCCAACCACCAGGGATGTCCTCGGAGCCCCGGGGGGGCGCGCCGCAGGGCCCCGGGCGGCACGCAGGCTGCAGAAGGCAGGAGGGGAGCGAGGCGTGGCAGCCGGGGCTGAGGGCTGCGCGGGCCCTGGGGTGGGGGGTCCGTTAACGCAGCGGCCGGGCTGCGGGAGGCGGGGACAGGGGAAGGAGCAGTGTTTCAGGCGGCCGGGAAAATATGAAGATGAAGAGCAGATGAAAGAAGTAGGGAAAGGGGGGAAAAGAACGATTGGAACAAAACCAGCAAGAAGAAGGAAGCGAGGAAGAGGGAGGAAGAAGAAAAGCAAAGGCGGAACAGCGCGGGGATCGCCGAACGGACGTGCATAGGTGTCGGATGGGGACGCGCAGCGCTTCCGGGACACGCCCTGCGTTGCCCCGCCCCCGGCAGCGCTGCGCCCCGCCCCCGCCCCGCGCCCGCATCTGGGTCAAAGCAGGTGCGGGCGCGGCGCGGCGCGGCGACAGCGGCCGCAGGGCTACCCGCGGGGGACGCCCTCTGATCCGGGGCAGGGCCGCGCTCGGGTCGCCCAGCTCGGCCTCGCAGGGACTCAGTGCCCCGCGCCCGGGGCCGAGGGCGCAGCAGGGCCACCCCAGCCCCGCGTCGTCCGGCCCGGCCGCCCCCCGCCGCATCCCCTAGTCCCCTCCTCTCCTGCCCTCCCCGGGGGCGGCCTCGTGGCTCCGCCTCTCCCTGCTTCTCCCCGCCCCGGCCGGACCTCCGGGCGGGAGGCGTCCGCGGTGCAGCCGGGGACCCGCGCGCCTGCACCCGGTACCTGGGAGGCTCCTGCGGCTGCGGCTGCAGCTGCTCCGCTTGGACGCCTCCTGTCGGCTCTGAGCTCGGAACAGGCTTCCGGCGGATGACTCGGGGCAGCCAGGAGTGGCCGGGCCGCGCCCTTGGGGACTGCGCACCCGCAGGCTGTCTCCGGGGACGCCGGGCCGCGGGGAGAAGAGCGCCGCTCCCGAGCGCGTCCGCCCGAGGTGCGCGCAGCAGGGGACAGGCTGTCCTCCTGGGCTGGTTTGCGCGGTAGTCGTGTTCAGCGTGAGTGTGCAGGAGCAGATGCAAGGTTGTGACTTCACCTTGAAAAGGAACTAAAAGCAAACCAGAGGTTAAAGGTTCCTAAAGCCAGTGGCTTTCAAACTCTTCTGATAGGATTCCCATCGAAAACAATTTTTGAGCGTGCATCTCCGCATCACTTTGAATTTATATGTGTTAGTATGCTAAATACTGATGTTATGAACGCTATCAAACCAAAATTTAAAGAATATGAAAAATCATTTTCCTTAGAAATACACATCTTTGTGCTCACAAAAATCATTTTAAAATTTTGTGACATCAGTGTGATTAAATACATTTGTTTTAATCTTAGTTTAACACTTTGCAACATGCTAATTTGAAAATCTAGTTTTCAGTTCACTTCATTACTCAAGCTGGATTGATCTCCTTAAGGAGGGAATGCTCTGCAGGAAATAAATTGGTTGATTCAAGTAGAATAAAGGCATCACTGATTGTACTTCATAAACCTTGACACTTGTCTTTCATCCACATACTAATTACCTGAAGATTTCTGGTTGAAATCCAACTAGTAAATTGTATTTATCCTCTTTAAAATCATTTGTTCTTGCAAACCAAATTTTTTAAATACCATGTTTAGTATTTTCTGATTGGCAACCTCTGAGTATTTTGCGGGCCTTTATCCTGGCTTGATGTCTACGCTAATGACTCACTTGTTGCCTACATTTCTTTGGAATGTACAATGATACATAACTTTTAAGGACTTTGAGTTTACTGGGACACAGACACGGGGAATTCTTTCATTGCTCCTTAGTGTGAGATTTTATGGATAGAAGCAAAATGTTTCATAAAGATATGACAATGTCAGGTACATTACAATTTCCTATCTTTGGAGCTAGGCATAGAACCTTTTTTATTTATCCTATAATACTGAACCAAAATTGGTACAGAAATCATATATTCTTAAACCGAATTAGAAACGGTTCATGTCAGATCCAGTCTTTCATTTTATTAGATGAGTAGAAAGAAAGCAAGACAATGTGATATAATCGGCCTCTAAAATGACCATAACAGCTAATGAGACTACCAATAAATAGTTGTGTGTGTGAACGTTTTTAAATAAGTTAAAAAAACACAGCCAATGTATGGAGATTCAGTATTACTAAAAATACCTTCTTATAACCAATAATATACATTTACATAAATTAGAAATTTATTCTTCTACTTTATATGATTTCTAAAAGCAGGGATGTTAGTACAACAGCTTTACACACAATTATTTTTTAATAAAATGTTTATTTTGGAACTTTGAAATTCACAGAAAAGTTGCCAAGGTAATACAAAGAACTCTATATGGTAGTAACACAGTTTCCCCTAATGATAATCTCCAACATTACCATGATACATTTGTTAAAAGTAAGAAGCCAACACTGGTGCATTGCTATTAACTGTGCTCCAGATTTTGTTTGGATTTCTGTGGTTTTTTGTTTTTTCCATTGATGTCGACATCATAAGTGTTTGTTAAATATTCAGATAGCAGAAAGGGAGATTTAATTTTACCATGGTAATTTGTGAACTATTGAAACTACATTCTTGGGAAAATTCTTGCTTATCAATTTATCTCCTTTACAAAGATTTGTCTTCACTAAATGATGCATATGAAATACAGTGTCAATGATAACACGGTGGCCAAGTAGTTCATGAATTGTAAGACATTCGGTATTTCTGAGATGTAAATAAAAGTCACATTAAGACAAAATGTTAAATGGTAAAAATAAAACTTGCCGTTCTACAAGTTATATAGATACCATAGGGTTATTAGAGTGCATTATTTCAAGATTTATCTGCTAATATTCAAATATGAAAAAGATCTAGGCTACAAACTGATGTTTAATTGTGTTTTTCATTCTTATGATGCATTTTTTATACCATAAGATGGTCTTGTTTGATGAGAGAGATACAAGGTTTAGGGGGTGCAGAATCTCCCATTAAAGAGAATGCTGTTGGTTTTGTTGTGCCTGATGAAGAAGAGAAGTGGGTGGTTTGCATTAAATTCAATGGATGGGAGGCTCGTTTTCAAACCCACCTCACTCCCAGTGCCAGCTGCAGCCTCTGTGCCTTGCTCATTTATTTCCACATAGGACTTGTGGAAAACATTGGACAGATACAGGTTTCTCTCTGCAGACATTCCTGAGAAATCAGCTTTCCTCTGGTCAAAGGCATCACTCATCCCCATCCTGCTCAGTGCTGACTTGAGATTGTAAGTCTCTTCCAGCCTGAACCTAGGAAGATGGAGCTGCACGTCATACAACTCCATCATGTCTGCGCTGGTCCACTCGTTCAGCTTCTCATAGGTGGTGGCCTTTTCCAGCTGCAGGATTGGAACCAAGGAAGGATCAGCAATTCCGAAGGGGAGTGAGAAAGACTGCTTGAGTGAAATCTCTAGATATTACATAGATGAGTTACGGTCACTCCATCACCCAGGGTAACAAAACACACACGTTTGGAAATTCTTTGCATAATGAGATCCTTCACACCATTGACCTACAGAGTCTTCGTTTTGCAGACTGTGAATTCTCAGGATATAGAAGAATTATACCTTGATTCAAAATAAAGTACTTCTATGACAGCATGCAAGACATACACTGCACATGCAAATATATCAATATATATATGCACACACACACTTAGATGTTCACTACACAAAAGCATACACTCTGTGACAAACTATGCCAAGGTACAGAATACATTTGTTTTATTAACATGGAAGACAGTACTTTGAAAACAAAATCTGAGAGAAAATGTCTATATCCTATAACCATATGAAATTAGTAACTATAAACTATGCAAAAAAATAAAGGAAAATCCCCAAGTCTTAAGAATAATGACTTCTTAATAGTAGCTCTAGGGATGTTTTTCTCCTCTTTATAAGTTTTGAAATATTGAGTATATATATATCTGCACATATGTGCATGTATGCATGAGAAAAAATTTTTTATTTTTTAATTGCATGTTTGTTTCAAAGCACATGCTTTTGCTACTTTGAGAGTTTTCTAGATCCAAGCATTGCTGTCAATGGCGTATTTTTAAATGGTGTACATTCATAATGTGATAATATCTTGAGCCCAGGAACCTATACTTTTAGGAAGAAAAGCTTGTCTTATAAGGGTGTGATCCTAATATTTTAGTGCCCACACTGGNGTATTTCCAATACTTCTATAACCTTGATACCTTTTCCACCCATAACTGGAGCAAAGTATCTCATTAGGGAATCATAATTCACTTTACGTGGCCCTGTTAGTCTAAGTCTTCCTGGAGAGGGGTGGAGTACAGAGGTCTGGGGCAGACAGGGCCTGCAGCGTGCTCCTGAGTCTGAATGCTGCCACTTGCAGCTGCGGGGTTGTAAGAAAGTCACCCTCTCTGTGCCCTGGTTTCCTGCGATGTAAACTGAGACTAATACTAGTACCTCTTTCAGGGAGTCAATTAAAACAGTGCACAGAGCACATACTGTTGTAACTGTTGTTATATAGTAATAATAATACCACAAACTCTAGGTCCCAGGTATTGAGCTAAAGTGCTTTGCATATGTTATTCTCAGAATCATTTCAACAACACTCTGGGGGGATGTGTGTTTGGGAAAAATGATGACATCTAACTTTGACATCACAAGTGCTGAGGAAAAACTTAGTCTGGTTGCCTAAACTTCTGTATGGACCCAGAAAGAATACTGGATCCACTATCTACCTGACTTAGGAGTTCTGTGTTTGATGCCAACATTTCTCAAAGTGTGGTCCAGTGACCTCCAAGAGTCAAAAGTCGAGGTCAAAACTGTCTTAATAGTAATGTTAAAATGTTATTTTCCGTTTGGACTTTCATTCTTCTATGAGCATATAGGGGAGTTTTCCAGAGGTTGCATGACATATGCTATCACAACACACTGAATGCAGAAGCGGAGAAGTGAATCTACTCATCTCATTAAAGTCCAACATTAAAGAGATTTGCAATAAAGAAAGGAGAAGAAAAGGAACAATGCCATTTTTTCTCTAAGTTATTTTGTTTGGGGGAATATAATTATTTTGGATAAAAGAACATGTTATGTTAACATAATGAGTTTAATATTGTTACTTTTTAAGTTAATTAACAAATATTTTTTAAATTTCTCAGCTTTAGCTGCTAATGTAGAAAACTGTATTGGTAGACAAACGAAACACCTACATACAGAAAAGCTTTTCGTACTCTCCAGTGTTTTTAAAAGGGTAAAGGGTTTTGAAGACAAAAATGTTTGAGAACTGCCATTGGAGGCGAAAGGTATCGCTTTCTTAGCATCTTCAGACAACCTAAGAACAGGTTTCTGCTCCTGACTTGCCTCAGAAGGGGAGATTTTGGAACTGAGGGGGGCGGTAGTTAATGTTTTTCCACATTTTTATTTGCAGGATTCTAAAAGATTTGAAGGGATTGACGTTGACTTTAAGGAGCTAGCTTATGATGCTCAGAAAACTCCAAACGTAGCCACCACCAAAGCAGGTCTTCACGAAAAACTGGAAGATATTCAGAGCAGGTGATGGTCTGTTAGCTGCCCCCTCTTGTAATGCAGGAGATGATATTCTCTTCTAGTGCCCACACTGGGTCTTATTTTCACCATCTCTCCAGCTTCACAAAGTTTACAGTGTAATACTGAAATCTTTTCTGCTTTCTAGCAGGGCTATGGAAACTTATAGAGAATCTGGCACACACAAAAAGTTAGGCATTGTGCAAAGACCAGCCACTATTGCATGAGAAGTTAATGTTCAGTTCAGACATGCAAATTGCTCATAAACATGGTGTGACCAAACTTATGTCAGGCTTCATAGAAATTTGACTGATATACAACTTAAATAATCTTTGAAGTCGGTACTGATAACAGACTATTTCTCCTAAAGACTTTATTTCAGTGAACATTTTTTACGGTTTTGCAAGTCAGTTTAATGTTTAAAATTGTATGCCTGAGGCTAGATTAATGCAAGTGATTAAAAATGAATTCCATTGAGGTAGTTCCTACCAGAGGAAAAAGAAAAACCTAAACTGACTGAAAGATTATATAGCCAATCCACTCAGCTTTGTGACTAACAAAGGATGTGTGTGTGCGTTGTTCTGTAGCTGTTTATATGGCTACCTGATGCTAGAGGTGTCTATAGTCTAATTAAACTTTCTGAGGAATAGTAATACCAGCCTTACAGAGTTTTATAAAGGCAAATGACACTGTGAAGGTGAAGTACATGGGGCTCAAAGCATGTTGGTTGCCTTCCTCTGTAGGAATTCAAGAAAAGGGAGACCATTTCCCCGGGGGGGTAAACACATCCATCTGTACATCAGACAGACTGATGTCTTTACCTGGTCCAACCCACTGGTATCTTCCGGCAGTAGTACAAGCAGGCTGAGGTCACGGCTCTTGTAGTAGAGTTGAAGGCCTGTGGCTTGTGGCTTTTCTATGTGAAAAATGTGAAGTTTCTCTTTCATGGACATCATTTGCACTGATTTGCTTGTAGTCTGTAGAAAATAAGTAGCAAGGTCACGGAGGAAGTGATTCACTGAATCCTTAACTTTTTATGCTCAATGGTTCCCAGTAGTCTGGGACACTGGCAAAAATTGGAATTTAGCAGAGATGCTAAATGCTGAATCAATTATTCAGACTTGGCTTTCTGGAATGTATGTTCTGCTGGACAACATCACCAATAGGTAATGTGGGAGTGTCTTTTTCACATGGACACTATTGTGGCAACTTCTATAAACATAGCTAGCTGGAGTCTGCCAAACACTTTTAGAAATGTATAATCTTATGCAAACTATGTAAATGCCAATGATTCAGAAACTGAATGAGTAAGGTGTATTTCACACGCTAACATTTCTGTATTTTAATAACTGAAATTTACTACAAGAATGAAAAGAAACAAAAGATTGAGAGAAAATATTTACAAGACACATATCTGATAAAGGGCTGGTATCCAAAATTTATTTTTTAAAAAACTCCTAAAAACTCAGTGATATTAAAACAAATGAACCAATGTTAAAAATAAGCAGAAGATGTGAACAGACATCTCATCAAGGGAAGACAGACAGCATATTAAAAGATGCTCAATCATATGTCAGTCAGGAATTGCAAATCAAAACAATGAGATACCACTATGTACTTATTAGAATGGCTGAAAGTCCAAAATGCTGAAAGTATCCATTCCCGGTAAGGATGTGGAGCAACAGGAACTGTCATTCCCTTTGAATGGGAATGCAAAATGGAAGCCACTTTGGAAGAACTCAGCAGTTTCTTGCAAAACTAAGCATC